CCCCAAAACCCCAAAACCCCAAAACCCCAAAACCCCGTTACACCGAAAAGTAATGTGTAATATGAATGAATTAGTTAATAAATAAATAAAGCATTATTAAGATACGTGAAGTTTCTGAAATATGGCAGAATTCATAAAAGATCAACTTATTCAAATGACTGAAGTACTGGGAAGCAACCTCTCCCAAGATAGTTTTAGAAATGCAGAACTTGGTTAACAACCTCTGTCATTAGCTGGTAAATAGCTTAAATCATTATAAATTATTATATTAGAGACTGCAAAAGCAGTATCTTCTGCTAATTCTACTGCAGCTCAGACCAAGATAACTGAATCAATAAGAGAAATGCTTTTCACAATGAGACTTGTCTCTTTGATTTGCAATTTCTGGACCATTGTTCTCTCAGTGTTAGTTATTTACAAACTTGCTGATCAGATAATCAAGGCTAAGAAGAATAGAGACAAAAAGAGAAAGAGACTCTATTTTACTTCGATTCTATTTGTATCTCTTATTCTAGTGTAAGAATTCCATCAATCTAAGTATTTAGACTATCAATTTTGAACTAACTCTGTTTGCAATTCCCCAATTATGTTGGCATATTCGATCTCTCTATGGAGTGCTACACACTTCTTTCATTAATCTTTTTCTTCTGGCAATGGAGAGAATCTATAGCCCTTTACATTGAAAAGAACTTTGTTTAACCACTATTGAGCAATCAAGATAAACTCCTCGAGAAAAAGCTCCTATAATAGCATAGTAAATACTTATTATTTTGACACATAATAGATAAAGTAGCTCATAATCACTCAGTTTCAAATCAGCAATATGCTCATGAAGTAGCTGAGAGAGCCAGAAATTCAATTAAACAAAACCCTAACGACAATACCTCAATGGAGCAAGTGAAGAGTGAATTCTACACTGCTGTTCTTAGCAAGGTCAAAGATATCAAGTTGCTTAGCTCCTTCAAATTTAGCACAGTGAGTTTCGGAGACAATCTCAACAAGTAAGAAAGAGCTTAGAAAGTGGCAAGACTTGAAAAATTCTTGAGATTCTCAACTGTAATTGTCTTTGCCCTCGAAATCATATTCACAATTACTGACTTGATAGACTCTGCTAGTGAAAGAAAGGAAGTTAAAAAGGGAGAATCAACTAAATAGATTTAATCAGAGCTTGATAACTTTGGACTTGATATTGTTCAAATAGTACTCACTCTTATTACTATTTACTTGCTCTACGTTTACTAAAAACTAACAGATAAGATTGCTAAAAGAGACGATCCATTTTCAAATGCAAACGTTTTAGGGTTGATCATCTTCATGGTTGTTATCTAAAAGTACATCATTGAAAGTGTCTTGACTTCAATGCTCGCTGAAGAAGAGTTCTTTACCCAATCCCTTTTGGTCACATTTAGATAGACTTTCTTCGCCATTGAAATTCTATTCGTTTAGATTCCACTCAGACACAATTTTTCTATCGAGCACGTAGAAACATGATAATAACTTTTGAGTCCAGTCATTGATGCAATAAATCTAGTATAGGTTTTTGCACAGATACTGATTATTTTACAATTCACTAAAAATTAATAATTACTTTCACCCAATTAATATCAATTTACTTTGCGGGGTTTTGGGGTTTTGGGGTTTTGGGGTTTTGGGG